GAACGAAAACAGAGCAAGTGCGCGTTAGCAAAACGCAGAAAAAGGGGATTCCAAGAAACAAACTCTTTGAGTAAACATGATGACAGACGGGATGGACGGGTAGGTTGGTAGAACTGTTATAAAGGGGTGTGCTTGTTTAGAGTCACCATAGAATCGTCCGCTCTCCCCTTGTGAGTTTACTGTCCACAAATGCAAATTCTGCCTCACCATCTACCGTACTGGAAAGATCGCTTCTGCCGTCTGATTCAGCCTTCTCCCAGTGCAAGCCGGTTAGCGGCAAACACATTTCAGAGCTAACAATTACAGAATATGAATTCATTGGGCCCATGAAGGTTTGAGTAGCTTCTAAACGTCTCTAAAGCCTCTGAATGGAAGTAGAATTTATGGCGCATTCCAACCCGAAGATGAAACGCGCCTCTAATGGGTCTAAACAGCTCAGAAAACTCCCCGCTTTCTTCAGCTGTATGTGCTTTATATTGCAAAGTTTCACCACATTTGGTAGCCTCAATTCTACCTCCATTAAGTGGTTGCTTAAGTATAAGATAAGTTCCAAATTCAGTTTACTCGACCTAAATCAAAATTAATGAGTTAATGGATACGCAGGAATATCAGGGCTAATAATTTTCTTATAATCTATGGTTTTTAAAGTTCGTAACTGATATGTTTTTAAAGTTCGTAACTGATATTCCGAAGTGAGTTGTCAGGGCTTACACATGGAAGACGACTGAATTCAACACCTTAATGATAGCGTGGTGCTACTGGGTATCACGCTTTGCAGTTCATGTGGGACGGCGTGGGACCCTAATCTACCATGTCATTCATTTTCTTGCGTGTCTTCCAGATATTTTTATTCTATATGTAACATCTAATCATGGCTTTGAGCATATTTCAAAAAATGGTTCAACACACTGTATTCATCTCAGGCTCTCTAGCATTTTCCTTTTCGGCCGTGCTTTTTGGCCGTGATGCTACAAGCAAAAAAATTAAAGCGTCGTCAATGTGCTGAAGGCGATTCTACGTCAACCACAGCTATCACTACTTTAACAATTCGTGAAATATTACTAGGATATCTACAGGGATGATGATTCATTCAAAGTATCCTGTGAGATGCGCCCGGATAACACAAATAATATACCGTGAAGGAATGATGAGATAAATGGCTTGGGCGGGATCCCTGCCGTCAAAGTGCGAATGGCGATTTTATCCGTTGCTCTAGCCTCGAAAAATTTGAAATATTAACCGGAACTCGAAAGTCGAAAAGTGGGAGAGGGTTGGGAGGAATCCCGGATAATGAAGGGTTTGTGAAAAAAACCTCCAATGAATTTTTTAGCGAGTTCCGAGCAGTTTCGACGGCAATAATCGCTTTTTTTCCCCAGAGAGGAAATATTAGTCAGCAAAAGAGTGAAGTCAAAAATGCAGATAAAAACTCACTGGTGAAGCGAGAAGTAGGCATAGAGAATGGCTCGATACGATTCCCGAAAAACAGCGTGATATTTCGATGGAGGCATTGATGCAAATGAGATGGCATTTGCTGACTGTGAAGGAGTCGTGAAAGCAGGAGAGAGCTTGAAAAAACTTTTTTTTGTTTCAAACAAGGAGGATTCGGGTAAATCTCATGAAATTAATCGTAACACTGCTGTCGACAGCTTGCCCTGGGACAAGCACACGCCTGGCAGGATGTGTTTAGATGGAGCTGCAGCGCGGCTGAACATAAGCACCTGAGTCTGATCTTCCCGCACTCTCAGGGCCCAACTCAGTGCGTTTAATTGGTCTGCTAGTCCCATGACCCTATTTGCACACCGTTCGTCCGATATCGGAATCACCTCCGAATTTGTGAAAATGCCTCAGTCGAATGCCGATTGATAGATCGGAAGGGAAGTGGATCTGGCGTTCGTCTGTCCCTATCCGTTGGGCCCTGAGCGACACTTGGTTGACACTGCAGCCATGGTGACTCAAATATTAAAAATCTCACGAGCTACTTAGGCGAAATTGAGAACTCCGAAATAAATATTTGTTATTTCGGTAATGAAAAAGAACGAATCAAGTGCTGGAAACCCTCTAAATTTTATCAGGCGCTGATCATTCTGAGGTCCGCCCCCATAAGAATCTCACTGGTTGGCCTTTGCTTCGGCCCAGTAAAATACAGCAAAAATTCGGTGAAGAAACAGGCCTCAACCTGTGAGACTTCCGTAGAAGTGGTGTACAAGCCCTGCCCAAACAATCAGCACGCAAGTTATTTCAAGGGTTCTTGGCGGGTTCTTTATCTCATTATTGTTGCACCAACCTCACAACAACTCCTTTCATACTCAAACGACGAATGTGCCTTCAAGTTTCTAAAGAAAAACCCAAGCGTTAGGCTCACAGACCGCTGCGATCATTAGGTGCCACAGTTGCGGTTAGAGGAATGGAAGCGGTCATTTCCTTCGAAATAGCTTGACTTCAGCTCAAATTATTTGCGTCCAAACGTGATCGGATCCAAGATCAACTGCGATGGGTGAATGAATTTTAGAGATCTCCCCTTCCTACACCACTCCCCCCATTTCTTCCACCTCCCGGCTCGATAATTGACGATCAGCAGCTAACAGTAAGTAAAGCATTGGCACAACATACACTTCCAACTCTCCCGAATTCACAGAGAGATAATAGTTTGGAAGGCAAGTTTGCCAAAATTCCCAAGATTTCCAAATTTCTATAGATTTCCGGCTTTGCAAAAAATTCTCATTCCATATCTTCTATGTAAAGATACGACTTTATTTTCCCAAACCACCAACAAGATATTTTCCAAAAACCGCAAAACGCGCCCCATCGCATGATATAGCCGCGATCAGTTTAGTTTCAGGATTCCCTGCAATCATTCTGGGTGTCAAGCAGCCATTTTGTGAGAAAGCAATTCTATCGTGGTTGACATGGATACCACATTTTTTCTCGGTTAGGTACCTATGAATCAATCAAGACTGCTGCATTCGAGGTAATGTACCAAAAACCTAGCCATTCTGGGAAAGCTCAATTGTGCAGATAGACGTGAATATAAAAATTTGGGATTCTGAACTATGCTCTGGTTAAAAGGACACTCCAGTTCACGGCAAACAAACACCTCAGCATCTTCGTCCAGGCGCGGCGAATAAGTGACAATAAGTTTCGAAGAAAAGCAGAAGTGTGAAGATTCGACTGCACTTTCAACCACAGTGACATGACTTGTTCAGTAATGCGTGTTCAAGATGTTTGTCATCTTTCAACGAACTGAGCTTTCTCAAATTGGAATACTTCCACAGGAATACTATCAAGTTGTTCAAAGCCAAAGGTACAGCCCGATCAGCTGAGCTTGATTACTGCCTTTGAAAACTATAGTAAAATGCGGAGTAGGCCACCAGTAAAGAAAAAAATGAAAGGAAACCTCCAACAATATTGGAAATAAAATTCTCCTGCTGGAAGCTGAATGTGTACAATGTAGAGACACTGGGTGTCCATGAAAACTGCCAAATCTACTGGCAGCATAGGCCAGGATGTTTACAGGGTGGTCCAAAAATTTATGAGGCAGCCGCGTGCTAGGTGCGGCAGGTTATATCCTTTTTTCGTATCGCCTCCATTTTCATCTCGTTTTCTGTGCACTATGTGAAAGGGTAGAATGTCTTCTTCCTGATGAAACCAAATTTCATGAAGTTCTCAAAACTAGTGAAATAACTACTTCACTTTGAGTCAGTCCTCAAATTGAACTCACTAGGGGCTCTGGCACGTTACATCTAGCAGCAGTCTAACCTATCAGAGAAGCCCTTATGAGCAACAGTTCAACTCTTCAATAAGTTTGGAATCACCACAGATGGAAAATTCGGGGACTCGAAAGTTACAGTTACCACCAGGATAATTATCAGATGCAGAAACTAGGTCTCCCCTTGTCGACTTTCGTACACCAGCTAGCTCCATAAGAGCATCTCTGATAGGTTATACTTGCTGCTAGATGAAGTCTCCGTCGCTGCCAAAGTACCCAAAATGAAAAAAATTGATGTGAAAACCCAGCCAGACACTCTAAAGACTCCACATCTGTAGTGGATAGAAAGCCACACGAGTAGTCTACTTAGACTTCTTACAGGACCGAGCACCCAAGAATAAAGCAAAAATCCTCCAAAAAGCGATTTTTCGAGTTCGTTGCTTTCGAAGAATTGTTACAATGGAACCATCCACCTGATAGCTCTAGATTTCTGTCGCCGGCCGTGTCCGTCCGTCGGCTGGTACCGCAGCTCATTATAGCATACATGCATTCAAATGCTACTACTGTTCTGAATGGAAGTAGAATGCGTGGCGTATCCCAGTAGGAACAGATCAACGTCGAGTTCGATTCCTCTCTGCGATGCGCCGTTTATATGCTCACAAAAAGATTGGTTCATCTTTCTGTTGTCGTTGAAGCAACAGTTGGAGTACCAACAGGGTGGGCGTGGTCGGGAACGACTGCAATCCCTTCTTACGTTCTTGACTGGTGGCGAAAACAGCTCCAAAGCCGACTGGGAATCGGCGAGGGGATTCACAGCCGTCCGACACGGCCCACCATGCTGGGACTGTTGCTCTGAATGCGCATTTTTATGCGAACTTGATCATTTTGCAATGTATTGGCACAATCGACATTTCAAATTGAGATAAGGTGCAGGAGGGCAGTTACGCTCAATGGTCCTTTGAAACCTTAATTGAAGATAAAAGCTGCTATGAGTGAAAACGGTGGTGTGGACATTCCACACGTGTGTGTAGACGACAAGGATCAGATAGATGTAACTTGACATCTCTAGCGGTAAGCTTAATGACTTTGCAATATAAACTTTATTTCAAAGTAAAATTTTATTGATAAGGCAGCGGGGTGTAATCCCTAACACTACCCAACATCCCATACAATTTTTTGCACATTTGCAGTGGACCCACCAACAGGTGGAATGTTGCTCCCCCACGCCCATCAGTCTCCTCGTGCCTCTTCAAAAAAAATCTTGCTCAGATTCGCTTCTCCGCCAACTTCTATGCTGATTCAACCGGTTCTAGTTAAGAAGCTTCTTTGATTAGATCCGCAGAGCAGAGTAGAGTGACCCCTCGAACCCTATGCTCACCAGCTGGCATGTGTTCTTTTGGTCTCGCCTAGAATTGACTGGCTAAATATTTATTTGGATCGAATAGAAGTGCACGGGAAAGCTTTAGCAAATTGTACGTTTGACGCGATTCATAACACAAGAAGCTACTGGCATCGCAAGACAACGACACATGCAACGCAGTGTGTGAAAGTCAAGGGATATGTAGAAATTTATAGTTTTACAACTTACAATTTACAATTTTTTCTAAATTTATGCAGAAAATTTGTCCTTCCCAGTGTGGCAATGCCTCACACGTCACACTCAAATAGGCCTTTCTCACTTCTACTTCCACTACTGCCTTACTAGGTTCTTAGCAGGGATTGAGAAAAGACACACCGCTACGTAAGTATGTATGGTTTATTGCTGTCATACTCAGGGGTGTCCCTTCAGACGTATATATGGGAACTTTATATTGACTGTTAATGGTCCACCCAGGAAAAGGTTCTCCGGTCCTACACCAGGATTTAGTCTTTCCGAAGAAGGGTTACCAGATTCAGAAAGACAACGAGAGTTTAGCCCTTAGATCTCGGATAACTAAGCCTAAATCAGGCAATGAAAAAAGAGCCGAATGACACCGCATTCAAAGTTGTTGTGAGTCCAAAGGATTGCACTCGACTCGAAGGGGCAAAAAAAAGCTGTACCTTTTGCTAGATTGCAGAGGCTGCGACGGGGAAGTAACTTTTCGCTTTCGTGCTCAATCATGATTCGTGTTCAAAGAAGAACATGTGACGGCATATCTGAGCGGCCTGTTAGCTCCTTGATAGCGATCTTTATTAGCAGAACCGTACATCAATTATTCCCCCGCAGTGTGCTAGTACTTTGTCTTTCGCCAGAAATGCCAGCTGCCGTATTTGTGGAAAAAATTTTTGTATCGTTACCTATCGAACAAAATGCCTTGAACACGTTGCTTGAAAGAATCCCCGTTTGGTTTTTTATCCAGCAGGTCCCAGAACGTGGTGAACGTCGAGCAGCCATTCATCGAAAAAAACAAAATTGGAAATAAGATTTGGAGGAGGTGTTGTGCGCGTTTCCTTCTCGATACTTCACGGAAGAATTCTTCGCAAGTTGATGGTACCGACTCGATATCCTGCGAAATTTGTGCGAATAGGAGTTGTTGTACGCGAATCGGTGGCAGATGCTGTAAACGAGTGAATTCATTTAAAAAAACCCATTTTTCACGCTTTAGCCTTGAGTTGAGTAGTAATCCGCTTGAAGCTTACGCCAAATTGCGAAATGAGCGTGTTGAGGAACCGGATAATGCAGCCCAAAAATTTCAGAAGTACAAGCTCTCGTAGATCAACTGTAGGACAGAATATGCTACTCACACGCCCACACGCCTGTGACTGGCTGCTCGCGTGAATCAGCCAATCACAAGCGTGTAGGCGTGACGCTTTCGCCGATCACAGGAGGCGGGATACGGTAGCAATATCCCGATAGTCTAGAGGCGGGTAATGCCAGAATGTCTGAGAAAAAACGTTTCTTATGCGCAGAGATGTTCGAATAGTGTGTGCTTTTCAGATGAAATATGATTTTGCAGCTCGGCTACTTGTTGCAACACGAAAGGTGATGCATAGAGAGCAAAAACCATTACACCACGTAGCCGCAATAGTGTTAAGAAAAATGGCGCTATCGCAAGACGCAGGAACTTCCTCTGTGTGTAAGCCTAGGGGGAGGGGAGGGGGGGGCGGGGCGGAAAATAAAGATTGCTCACCTGGTGTATCTCTTCCCCCTCTATGGCTCAGTCCCGTTTTTTACAAAAAGGAGATATTTCACGCAGTTTCAAGTGCACTGCCACCACAATGCCCCCTATCTTGCCAAAGCGCCAGAAAAAAAACTGACCCTGCTTTCTCATAGTAGTCAGAGTACTTCTTTAGATATCGGTCATGGCATCCAGCCCAGCCGAACAGAATGACCAAAGTCGACGAGCCCGGCGACAGGTTTATAATTACCCGAGAAGATTTCGTTTCGGCGGTCGTCTTCTGGGAAACCATCCTGAAACATCCATAACCTTAGCAAAAGTCACGAATTGCGAGGAACAACACGCCTGGCTGGCACGAAAAGACATCAAACACCAAAAAATAGAAACAACATCATAATGGGCTCTCTACAGCAATGAATATGAAACCAATTTGCACGGACATTTCTCACATCACAATCGATTCAGCCCATAAGAGAGTAGGAGCGAGAGGATGGAGCAACTGTATAAACCAACTTCTTCGGGGGCTGGATGCCAGAGAAATGAATAAACGACAGAAATGAAAGTAGCTCGCCGTCGGAGGACTTATCAAGAAAAACAAGTTAGATGAATATTAATTGAGGTCCTAAAGGCACGGGTCGTGATCGGGAATCGGGAAAAATCGGGATTAACCGGTCACAGCGTCAGGCGAAGGTATTAACTTACCTGTAATCACTTCCAAATCGCGAAAAAGCCACCGCCAAATAGGGTTCCTCCTAACTCACGTAAGGACAGAATTCCTCCAAAGATCCAAAGGTGACCCGTGCCTTCGAACAAAGTTCCAATCGGGGCCTTTCTGTCGCAACTTGCAAAAGCAAAAAGATTCTTTTGAATCAATTCGACTACCATTCCCTATGTTTTTGTTACTGTTCGTAATGTATGCTATACGAAGTTATTACGCACGCTGTACGGACAATCTGAAAATGCTGCCGGGTTTCTCGGTCAACGGGATAAGGCAGACAACAGAACGACCAATGAAGAGCATGAGCGGTGTCAGGTGACTGCAGGCACGCGGAGCAAGTTCAATTTTGCTACACCAACGTGTTATAATTACCAGTTTAGCTCCGCACACTACCGCGTGCATGACACGGAAGGGCTCCGTGAAGCTGGCCAGCCGACGGAGCGTTAGGTTCCGCCGCTAAGCAATAACTTGCTTCGTGAAATGCGTTAGCTGGCCTTCTTAGAATGCTCATTTTTGCTTTTCCTTTTTGCTCATCGTCTGATACGCGCGGTGGAGTGCGGAGCTAAAGTGGTGTCTGTAAACAGCCACCATGCATTGGATGTCAGGATGATTTAGCGGTCGAATAATATTGATGCCAATGATTTTGCAATAGAAATACCCATTATCGTATACTTGCTTAATGTTAGTGACTGTTTACTTGACTGTTCTGTTGGGTTATACATTATTTAAATCAAATAAACGGATCAAGTGATCTTTCACCTGCCTTCATTAATTTCGAAAAATCTAAAATTTTCTAAACCCAAATTTGAGCTGAAGGTTGAAATTTTCTGTGTGGATCATAAAACACGTAGTTAATAATTGTTGCAAATTTGGAGACGTTCCAGTGACTTTCAAAAGAGAAATCATGAAAAAACCGTTTGTTCATAAATTTCTGGCCACTACTGTAAAATGTGTTAGCAAACCCCCTTATCGTAAGTTTGAAGGAGGGTGTCCCCCAACAGGCCACCGCGCGGCGAAGCAAGAGACGCAGATGCGGCAAAGAGACGAGTTGCAGCGCGTGCTGTGCGATATGAGACGTAGTATGGTACACTCTCTTTAACCTGACGCCTAACCGCTACAGTATGCGCTGCGACTCGTCCCTTTGCCGCGTCTGCGTCTCTTGCTTCGCCGCGCGGTGGGCCTGTTGGGGGACTAACGCCACTTGAAGGAAACGCTCCGGGATTTAGGCGGCTAGCTCATTACCATTCCGGAGGTAGTCGCAGGGCAGATCAGCGTGAGTGTCGCGCTGCTCTTGCGCTTGAAAAGTGCGCGACAAAGGTGCAAGGCTCGTTCGACTCCGCAACCATAGCTTACGACAAGCTCCACCCTCCGCTGTCGGTTGTGGCGCTGCTTGAAATTGAAACTCGTCCAACGCGCCCCTTCTCTATCCCAAGGTGGAATGCGGCTGAAATAGGGGAGGTCTCTGTGCGGGGCGTAATCGGTGGTTTCGTTTGCTTTCCTTCTCTTTTCCAGACCACCTCCCACCTCTAGCTTCATAACTGAACGCTTTTCCACTACCTATTTTATCCCGAATCATGATTCTAATTTCATTTAGTTATCCTTCTATTACATAAAGCGCTAACTCGGTGTCGGTTTGTATGTCTGTATTGTACATATGCTCTCTATCCGTCCGCAAAATAAAGTGAGTGATAAGGCAGTTAATGAAGAAGCCGCTAACAAATCTGGATAGCTCGCAGGGCTTGCTCTATCAGTGTTTTGCAGTGGCATGATTGTGAATAACACCCCGACGGCTATATAAACACGGACTTAGTTCACTCTCGGTCATTCCACAATTTTTGCGGGCTTAGCACACTTTCGGTCATTCCACAAGGTGCTGCTGTGGCAGCTGGAGAGCAATGGAGGGAGAGGGGAGGATAAGGAGAGGAGGAGGAAAGCAAAGCTTACGCAGGGAAGGGAGGTTCCGGCGGTTGCCGGGGGACCAATCTGGTGTGTCATAATATCAAATAAGATAACATTAATAATTTCTAAATAGTCATACTTTCTTGATGAGATTTCGTAAGGCCCATTCAAAGGAAGCAGTCACCTTGGTTGAGAGCAGGTCCAGCGCTCGGCAATCATCGGTAGAAGAGCATTGTCATTGGTGGAAAGGCGTTGAGGGGCGGACGTTGGGCGCCCTCCCGCCAATGACAATGTTTCTCTCGACCGCCTCCTTCTTCAACATCCAGCATTATTGGAGAAACGGAGAATCTACGAAAAGGACGAATCAAGTTTTTTTCTTCCAATCTGCTAATTGGCGGTATTTTGCAGAAATCTCACAGAAAACATAAAGATGAATTCAGCTAAAAAGGCATAGGAACAGAGAACATTCTGCAGTGGCACTCAGCTTCGATTGCCTCTATGCAGCACAAAGCCAATCAAGGTTGATTAGTCAATCAGCGAAAATTGCCTTTTAGATGACACACGCTAAGCTCACATCTTAGAGCCTAACTTCACGTAGTGGAAAGTAAAATTGCTGCAAAGAGTTAAACTAAAAGTGATTACCATTCTGCAGAAGCATTCGTATTCCATGCCCTCATTCGAGTTGACATAGATCCATTACATTAGTTCTATGCAAGAAACGCACCTTCGAGAACGAGAAAATAATCAAAAATTGAGTTCTAAGTTCTGAGTTCATGAACTATTATTTGATCTACTCATAGCGACACCCCCTTTCTTTACTGCTTCATTTCAATCTACATAAAGTCGATGAAAAATCATGCGAAATTCACTGATTGAACTTCCTGCTGTGCGCGCCATGCATTTGTCTTCCTACTTACTTTTCTTCTGAAAAGGCATAAATAAG